TAAATGGATAACGAACACGAGAATACCACATTTCTGGTGTTTCATTACTATAGCTATATTGCAGATTGTTTAACACCTGTATTATTATAGGATTTAAACCAGAATAATTAGTTTTAACCATTTTGTGGGTATAGTGAATGTATAGCTGTTTTAGTGATTTATAGCGTTTTTAGCAATTTATAGCAAGTATATTATAATAAAATATCATATTCATTTTTATTCGATTGTTCGGGTGAAAAACTGATTCATATTTTTTTTTTGATTCGGTTAAAATTAGACCCGATCACCATGGACGGCTGAACTATAAAATTTGTATCACATGTGATCTCCCTAAATCCCTGCCAGTTCCGGAGCTGGCGAGTTTCTATAAATCACGAGATGATCGGCCAATCAGATTTATTCGAAATCTTAGCATAGCGATCATGTATTGGTTAACGCATGTAGAGTAAAAAAGGCCCGATATGGTCAGATAAACAAATGCTTTAGACCTTTAACAATGGTATTAAGTACTTCGAAAATGTCATCGAAAAAATCACGTGCATGTTCCGAAAAAGAACGTCAATCACTTTGCCCAAAAAATTCGATCAAATATGTGGGTTAGTACACATTTGATATTTATTTACACGATCATATATGAAAATTCTCACATAAACTTTATTTTTCAGATGCATATATCCATGTTTCAGTGTTCACATATAAGCAAAAGATAACAGCAAAAAATAATTAAGATATGTTGTAAACCGTATATATGTATTTCATATAACATATATCAATATTCAAGTAATTAATGACATAAGCAATCACAATACTGTTAGCTTAACATTTGAATTTGTGCGAATCACCTAATTAAACTCTAATAATCGGCACACGTATTTTTTTAGGTGACGAATTTGACTTTCGACAATACAAATGACCGGATGATGATAATGGTTGAGATGAATTCATAGTAGCAATGGTAGATCTTATCCTTTCCTACATAAAAATAATTAGTGATTAGACTGCAAATCAACTTGTTTATACTGTAAAGTAAGACTTCTTACCAATAAAGAATAAAAGGTAGATATTACAGTAATTATATTTAAGAAGTTCGCGTTTTCTGTTGGCAACAATATTTTTGATAATTGATTATAACGGTATAAACCGTCAAAAGTTAAATCCATGCTAAATATCTTGATTTCGTTTCCTATTGGATTTAAATCTAATTAGCTTGGCATTAAAATATCATAAAGTTACAATAGTGATTGATAACTTACCACTAATCAATACTCCATATGTTTCCAGACCGTCAGCATAACCATAACTATTAATAATGAGATCTAATGATCCTTTTGTGAATTCCGCCAACTTTATGATACCTTTATTTATGAAAGTTGAATTGCCTGGAGGTTTAACTTCGCCGAATAAAAATTCCATATTTATGTCATCTATCTTTGAGAGTACACGAAAGTCTGGCTTTCTTCCGTGATTCTTTCCATCTAGTATTCGTCTTTCTTTCGAACTTTCAGACTCTCCATTTGCCCTTTGTTCCGATACAAAAAAATATGAACATAGATTGATATACTGTATAGTGTATTGTAATAATTTTACATGGAACTTACCAGACTAATGAAAAATCATCTTTACTAAAAATTTCTTCAAGAATTCTATGGTAATATCGGTGAACGAAGGTATCTTCGTCCAGTTTCTTATCCTCATCGAAACTCACTGAAGACAGATATGTAAAACTGAAAAGCAACAGACATACAGTAAATATCAACAACGCACAACGCACAAAGATGTTCTCAATAATTAGAACTTACAAAGTTTTTGTGACTTCTTGCGCACAATCGAAGATGGATTTATCCTCGTCTGTTGATAGTGTACTCCATTTGGCCCAATTTTCATGCCATTTTATGTCCAATAACTGTTTGTCGTTTAAAAACTAATCACAAAATATAGCAAATTAATAATTTTGCCGATTATTTGTTAGAATTGATGAAAAACTTACCATATTATATTCAATTATTATTAAATGCACGACAGGTGGCAACATCTTTGGAACTAAGGGTCTTGGCCGAATTTTATTCCATACTTTTTCGGAACATGTTACAAATTCTGGCTTGACTTCATTACAATACATTATAGACGACAAACACCTGTAGACATGTACAAAAATTAGTTATTGAAATTGATTTATTTGTATAACAAACACTTACAGTATCCGATCTATATCTTTTGCATATGAAAAAGTTTCATTGGCTTCTAATAGGTTTATCGATATTAATTGAAATTCACGGAAATCAAGGGAAATGTTGTGGCCATCTTCCACCCACTATAAGTAAGAAAGGATTATTACTATATCAGGAAATACTATCATAATGTTTCTCAATACTTACGTCATTCTTAGAGATGTTATTTATATTAAGGATAAAAATACATTTTCAGCGTTTATCTCTTTATTCTCCGCAAAATCACGATGTTTCAATCCAGGTAAAGACTTCATCCAAAAGTTATCGATGCGCCCATCCCTTTTAGATTCAACCTTAACATATAAATTATAAATATTAATATATTCAAAAGATATTGGAAAAAATTATCTGATCCTAGGCTTATCACAAGCTGGCTACAGCGGAGGCGCAGTCCATAACCATGCGAAGACGCAGTTCCATGGGTAGCTGTAGCCAACAGCGGAGACGCAGTCCATAACCATGCGAAGACGCAGTTCCATGGGTAGCTGTAGTAGCGGAGACGCAGTCCATAACCATGCGAAGACGCAGTTCCATGGGTAGCTACTGAATTTGATCTAGTTATCTACAATTATTAGTTTATAAAAAATACTGACCTTGAATTGATTTTCAAGACGTATCGCGTTTTCCTTTTCCGCTCCAGAGCCTTGAGCTTTTATGATTTGTATTTGCTTTAGAAAGCTTCTTGTTAGAGTTGACTTGTCCAAACCCAAACTGCTACTTTTCCAGAACGTATGGTACTGAACTGCGTCCCAGTCATTACTGGGAGTGCGCAGGAAATATTCGAAGCAAGGGCCAGGCTCACTGATTTCGGACAGCATTGTTAGAATTTCGCTTTGAGGGATGAAAGAGTGATTTTTTTATATTCACAGCTTATTAACACAAAACGACTTAGAAAAGCCACTTCATATTTCCATATCAGGAAATCATCACGATGTTTTAAACCGATAATCACAAATATCACGATAATCAATATATCAAAAGTGAAAAAACTTTATTAATGTATGATGCTATCAAAGAGGGAGGGAGTACGCGGATCCTAGGCCATTTAATGCGAGTCCCAGCATCAAGTTATT